CTATGGTGATTCATGCCCTCTTTAGATCTGTGCCCACCAGACAAATACATATGTTCAAATCACAGCATGAACCCTAGAATTAACAAGTAAGCATAACAGGGTCACAGGATACAGCAAATAAAAATCAATCCAATTTCAATGTGCTCCCACTGAAGAACTGAATTTTTAAAATACTATTTAAAATAACTCAAAAACTGGAAATGCTGAAGTATTAATATGAGAAAACATGTATTAGATATGTGTGATGAATACTCAAAAATGTGCTGATGAAAGGAAATCTGAATAAATGAAGAGATATTGTTTTAATTGTTTAGAAGGCTCAAAATAGTAAATACGTCCACTCTCCCTAAACTGTCCTATACATTGAACATGATTCCAATCAAAATCCCAACAGGACTTTTGTAGACTAAGATAAGCTCTTCTAAAATGTAACAGAAAGGTAAAGGGACCTAAAGTAGATAAGAGAATTTGGAAAAAGAAGGAAGTTGGAGGAACTGCATCACCGAGTTTTAAGAGATATGATTAAAGCTACAAGAGATAAGATTAAAGATAAACATATGTAATCAAAACAATGTAGCATTAGCAAAGAGACAGACACATAGATGAATGTGACAAAAGAACCCAGAAATAGAGCCACACAAAAATATCCATGACATTTTGACAAAGGTGCAAAAGTAATTCAGTGGAGAAGGGATAGTCTTTTCTATGGATTGTGTTAGAAATCTGTAGTTAAAAATGAACCTTGATACCTCAAATTTCATACAAAAACTAATTCAAAATGAATCAAAGATGTAGATGTAAACTGTAAAACTAAAAATGTTTAAAAAATAGAATGAGAGATACTGTGGCAACTCAGGTTAAGCAAAGAGTTGTTAGACTTGGAACCAAAAGCACAATCCAAAAAAGGAAAAATTGATAAATTGGGCATGTAGATAAAGTGAATGTTCCTGTGGCCAGGATTCTCACTGGGCCCTGGTTGGCTAGCTCACTACACACGTGTAGGCAATATGTTGCTATTGACTCTATATAAAGAGCCCAGCCCAGTGCTCTGCATAATACAGTGGCACGGCTACAAGGCTGTGGGAGAGCAGAGCAGAGGCTGGAGTGGTGGCAGCACCAAGGACAGAGACTGGGATGGCTTTGCAGGCAGAGAGGCCCAGAGGCAGAGACGGGCTTGCTGCATGCAGACTCGCTCTGAGTGCACAAGACTTTAGTGACTGAACTGCCACCATGGCAATAAAGTTGAGTATAACCCTTTCACCCCAAGAACATTTTACTGTCATTTGTTTGGTCACATTGAATCCATAGTGAACTTGCCGGGGGCTGAAACTCATTTGCAAGACAAGGCATCAAAATTAAAATCTTTTGCTCACTGAAACACATTGTTAAGAGAACAAAAATACAAATTATAGACAATTAAATATCTGTCAAAGGAATTGTATCCAGAATACAAAACTCTTAAAAACTTTCAAAACCCAACAGTAAGAAGACAACCCAATTAAAATATGAGTAAAATACTTCACCAAAGAAGATACAGAAATGATAAATAAGCACATTAATAGCATTAGCTTTTAAAAAAAATGCAATGAAAATCACAGTGAGATACCATTACACACCCATTAGATTGCTAAAATTAAAAAAAATACTGACAATATCAAGTACTGGCAAGGATGGGGAGAAGAAACTCTAAATGCACTGCTGATAGGAATGCAAAATGTTACGGGTGCTCTGGCAGCTTCTTTTGACCACTGAGATGTTATACACCGTAAAATGAAGAATCACTTCCCATACCCTCTCCCCCAGCCATTGGTAACCACTATACTACTTTCTGTCTATATTTGCTTATTCTGGACTTTTCATAGAAGTGGAATCATACTATATGTGGCCTTTTGTGTTTGACTTTTTAGCTTAGCATAGCATTTTCAAGACTCATCCATGTTGTATCATTATCAATAATCAATTCCTTTCTATGGCAAGTAATATTCCATTTTATGGATATGCCACTTTTATTTACCAGTTGCTAAACATTTGAATTGTTCTTACAATCTGTTATATGTTTATACTAATGTTCCATGAATATTCATGCACAGACTATTTTGTGAACATATGTTTTCAATTCTCCTGGGAATATACCTAGGCGTGGAATTCCTGGATCTTATGGTAACTCTATTTCTAACCTTTTGACACACCGAATTGTTTTCCCAAAGTGGATACACCATTTTACATTCCCACCAGCAATGCAAGAGGTTTCTAATTTTTCCACATCCATGCTAACACTTGTTATGTTCATTTTTAAAGATTATATCCATGTAGTGGGTTGAAGTGGTGTCCTATTGTAGTTTTGATCTGCATTGCCCTAATGACTAACAATGTTACCTTTCATGTGCTTATTATGTTTGTATATCTTCATTGGATAAATATCTACTCAAGTCTTCTGCCCATTTTTATTTGGGTTTTCTTTTTTTGAATTATAGGAGTTTCAGATATATATGATTTGCAGATATTTTTTCCGATTATGTAGGCTGTCGTTTCATTTTCTTGATAATGTTCTTCGATGCACAAAAGTTCTCAGTTTTGATGAAGTCAAATTTTTTTTGGTGACTTGTACTTTGGTGTCGTATCTAAAACGCATAGTCACATCCAAGGTCATGAAGATTTATAGCTATGTTTTCTTTTTAGGGTTTAGTATTTATAGCTCTTAGAATTAGGTCTGTGATACATTTTGAGTTAACTTTTATATTGTTATGAGGTAGTGGGGTCCAAATTCATTATTTTGCATGTGACTTTTCAGTTATTTCAGTGCCATTTGTTGAAAAGATTATTCTTTCCACATCGAACTGTCTTGGTAGCCTTGTTGAAAAAAACAATCAATTGACTGTTGTGTATATTTTTATATCTGTACTCCAAATTCCTTTCCATCGATCTACATGTTTATCCTTATGCCAATACTATACAGTGTTGATTACTGTAGCTTTGTAGTTGAAATTGGAAAGCGTGAATCCTTCTCTTTTGTTCTTACTTTTTCAAGATCTTTTGGCTATTCTGTGCCCCTTGAATTTCTACATGCAATTAAGGACCAGTTTGCCAATTTCTGCAAAAATGCCAGTTAGAATTTTGATAACAATCACATTGTATCTGCAGATCAGTTACAGGATATTAACATCTTAATCAATGGACACAGGATGTCTCTATTCAGGTCTTCATTTCTTTCAATAATGTTTTATAAATTTAAGTGTACAAGTATTACACCTATTTTTTAAAAACACTATTTTTGATGGTATTGCAAATGGATATTTAATTATTACTAGTTTATAGAAGTATAATTGATACATGTTTTTTATTTTATATCCTGCAACCTTGGTGAACTCCTATTAGCTCTAATAGTTTTTTATGTGGATTCCATAGGATTTTTTAATATAAAATTTCATATCATCTGTAAATAAAACTAGTTTTTCTCTTTCCAATTTGGATAGCTTTTGCTTCATATTCTCACCTAATTGTCCCGACTAAAAATCACCTGATTGCCCTGGCTAGAATGTTGACTATAAGGGGTTAAGGGCAGTCATCCTATCTTCTTTCTGCCTTAATGACCTTAAAGCTTTCCTCCTAAGTATTTCAACAGTTGAGTATGATGTTAGCTGTGGGGTTTTTCTGTGGGGTTGCCATCTTGGTTCAGCCAACTGGTGGCACCAGCAGGAGATTACAGCCAAGGCAGGGGAAGCAACCAGTTTTTCTCCCTCTTCCTAAGCATCATATGGCTTCTCCATCCACAGCTAGGTGTTTTCCATGGCTCCAGCTCGCATAAGATTGGGCCACCATCACTCCGGGTCCTAGTGAATGTAATACCTGGACTCCAGCAACACTACTATGTTTTTTTGTCCTTGCAGACTAGAGGTGGGAGTGACTTCCTATTGTTGCTAATTGTTGGGTTTCCCAACTCTCATTTTTTGGCTTTTTATCAGCTTTTAATCCCATGCATTAAAATTCCCTGTGTTATATATTTACTATGGTCTCTATTTTCCAGGAAAATCCTTGATTTTGGCATGTGGCCAATTATACTGATTGACTTTATAGTGTTAAACTTCTTCACATTCATGCAATGTTTTTCATATACAGAAAACACAAAATAAGACTTTACCACATATAAATTCTAATGGCATAAGTTATAGAGTGATATATTCAACTGGTAAAACCGTCAAGCAATACCCATAAAGCTATACAATACGACCTCTATGATGCAACTCAAGTGGTACTCAGTGAGAAAGAATCTAAAATAGATGTAAGAAATATTTAAAACAGCCAAGCACTTCAAGAAAGTATAGAATGAATAGCATATTCAACCTATAGAAGTAGAAGTCAGAAAATGAAGATCAATGCAGAAATAAAATAGAACACAGTAGAGTCAATGAACATAAGTCATTCCTTTGGAAATACTTATGATATTTGCAAAAATGTCTTACAAAAGAAAAAAGAAGGAACAAACAAGTTAAATAATTTGTAAAAACTTTAGATGTGAGGATATTTTAAATAGACAGGAACACAACAAGTTCCCCCAGGAAAACCAAAGCTGCAGACCCGGAAATGTTCCCACATACTGCAGCTAATAAGGTGAAGAAGGAATGAGAGAATGATTGCTCTGTGAGCCCTAATGGATTAATAAAGGTGACAGCCATCAATGACTGTCAGCATCAACAGAAAAGGGGACAACCAGGCATTAATACCTCTTAATGCAAGTATATGGCATCACCCACAGAGAGGTCTCCCAGGAGAGAGGAAACGGAGGAAAAAGAAAAACCATCTGACCAAGCCTTTAACTATCAGTGTAAAGAAGTCCAGGGGCTGAAGAACATGTTTAAAAGGATACCAAATATTTATAGTCAGCAAAATCCAGACTATGGGAAATAAGACAAAATACATGGCTTTTTTTAATGCAAAGAAAAAGCTGTGATGTGGCAGAAATCTATAGGCTAAAAAAGACTGAAGGGACATAAACAATCAGGATGTATAGACCCAATTTGCACATCAATTCAAAGAAAAATGTTTCAAGTATTAAGTTGTCAGGTAAGTGAAAAAACAGATATTTGACAGTAATGACTTATTTTTAGAGCTAAAAATTGCATTAAGTTTATGTTTTAGATAAGATTGCTTATCTTTCAGAAATGCATGCTGAAATTCTTTCGGTGTGATGGTTGGGATTTGCTTTACAGAATTCCAGTTGCAGAGATGGGTGGATAGTGGGGGTATGGTTGGGAACACACTGGCCATGCACTGATGATTGCTAATGTCGATGGCAGGTATACTGGGTTCATCATACTGTTCTCTTTACTGGTGTAAGTTTGGGAGTTCCTGAAATACTTTCTATTACAAATATCATGCTATTTAATTTAAAAACTAAGTGAAATGGGCCACTTTTTAGAAAATAAATAACCAAGCTGATCCATAAAGAAAAAAACGTTAGTGCAAAAACTAGTCAAAATTCAATCTGCTGTCAAATGTCCAGGACAAGACTGACTTGGAGACCACTTTTACCAAATAGTCAGGGAAAATTTATTAGCAGCTTTGGCAAAGTTTTCTAAAGCATACCAAAACAATGGAAAACTATTTGATTCATTTTTCTCAGCCAGCTCTCTTTAATTTAAAACCCAAATGAGGACTTCTCCCACACCCACATCCCCGTGAAAAGAATACTTGAGTCAAGCTCATTCACATAGCATTAAGTATCTTAAATAAAACAGTATAGTCAACAGAGCAGTGAATTAAGTGAGCAAATGGGTTGTGGCCAGGGAGTGAAATATGATTTAACATTAGAAAATGCTTTCAATTCTAATTCTCTACATCAACAAATTAGAGGAGAAAAAAATTTGATTATGCCATGGGTGGAAAAAAGGTATTTGAAAGAAATTCAACATGAAATCATGGTGCAAATTTCTGGCAAACAAAGAATGAAAGGGATCTTCCTTTCTTTAAAATTCTGCAGCTGAGTTAGATACGAAATGGTAGAATTATTCTCATTAAAGTCAGGAATAAGACAGACATATACACTTCACCTCTACTGTTGAAAAATGCACTGGAATACAAAGCCAGAGATATGGACATCAAAATAAAAAGATATGAATATTGAAAAGATAGATATTATTTGGTAACAATATGATCATCTGCCTAGAAAATTAAAAGGAATATTGTAATATTGAAATGTGGAAGATTCAAATAAATAAGGGTCTTCAAAAACACACAGTATGGGAGGTCAATATAAGAAAATTAAGAGCCTTGTCACACAAAAGCAGTAACTAATTAGAACACGTAACAGACAACATCCCATTTGAAACAGCAACAAAATCCAAAAGTTAGCTAAGAGGAATTACAGAAGTCACAAAAATGTATGAGATTGCTATGGAGGCAAATATAAAAAGTTTACTGATAGATTCAGAAAGTTTTAAAAAGCTTGAAATAGAGGAGTATACTATATTAAATGATGTGAAACAGAATACTGTAAAGATACCAATTCTCCCTAAAATACTTAAATTATTTACAGATTTAGTGCCTTACCTGTAGTTGCCAAATTCAAGTTCGTGCTGCGGTCTTCCACTCCCAAAATCAATGCTGGAAAACTAGAGGAGAGAATGTAAACCAGCAATAATGTGTTAGTTTACTAGCGCTGCTTTGTCAAACTACCATGAACTGGGTGGCTTAATGGAGATTCTCTTACAGCTCTGGAAACCAGATGTCCAAAATCAGAGTCACAGGGCTGAAAGCAAGGGGCTGGCAAGGTGGCACTCCCCCTGGAGACTCTAGGGCAGAATCCATCCCTTGCCTCTGCCAGCTTCTGGTAGCTGCTGGCAGTCCTTGGCTTGTGGCAACATGACTTCAATCTTAAAGGTCAGCCTCTTCAAACATCCCTCCGCTCCGTCTCCACACTGCCTTCCCTGTCCATTCTCCTTCTGCATCCCTCTCATCAAGACAACTGCGATGGCAGAGAGAGCACAGCCAGACAGTCCGGGCTGTCCGGGCTGCCCCCACTGCCCCACCCCTCACCCCGCCCCCATCGAAACTCTTAAATTCATGGCCTCTGCAAAGACACCTTTGCAAAGAAGGCGGCCTTTAGAGAATCTAGGGACTAGGGTGCGATATGTTATGTGTGGTTCATCCTGATGCTTGCTTTTCCATTTTTTAGTCCATTCTTTTTACTCCATTCTAATATGTTTTAAAAGGGGCATTATTTTTTGGCCTATCAGAAATAACTGCAACAAAATGTAAACAACAAACCACGAGAAATCCCTGTGTTGACCTGGTACTTATGTTTTTGGTGAGGGTGGGAGGCAGCAGTGAAGTTGGGGAGGGTCCATAGCCTGCAATGGATGGCAGATGATGGGAGAGGGACTTCTACCCGTGCTTTACTGAGGAAATCTGAGGCATCACTGCAGACCACAGATGCCAGGAGCCCTGGGGTAGCATCAGATATCAGGGAAGCTGGGGTCGACTGATGCGGTACGACTCCCGAGTCTGTGCTAATAACCACCTGAAGCCACTTCAGTGAGGAAAACGTGGCCTTTAAAAACATATTTGAATGGAGTAAAAAGAATGGACTAAAAATGGAATAGCAAGCATCAGGGTGAGCCACACATACACAAACACTTGGTAGAGATGTAAAATACATTTCTTAATATCAGTTAAGCTTAAACTAAAGAATGAAGAAAAATTCCTGTACTGAACAATGCAATGGTAGATAATCTCACAATAGCAGGAACTTCCAAAATGACATTGCTCAGCCACCAGAGTGTGGAAAATACACTTTTACAACAAAATGTTTCCTAAGTTTACCGGCTGGTGGGTGAAGACACCCAGGGTGGAAGCTGTGCTTCTCTTCTGGATCTCCACCACCTGTCCTGGGCACTGCTGCTCTCCCAGCTAGCAGCCAGCCTGGGAACCAGTCAAACCTGCTATCCGAGATTGCAGCTAGGCAAATGCTCCCAGCTGGCGGAAAGGGAGGAACCTTCCAGAGAGTACCTAATTAGGAGCCAAGGGGAGAACCCTCAAGAGTACAGACTAAGGGACTCACCCGCCCCCCAGAACAGTGTGAACCCCACAGAATCCCACTGCACCCCTGATGTCAGCCTGGAGACTCGTGGCAGGACTGTCAGGTTATGCAACCCCCACCTCGTTCCCATCTCCTGGCACTCAGAGGGGCTGGCCTTCATCAGAGGCTGGCTGACTCAGGTTTGCAGATGGGAGTGCTCAGGCAGTTCCAGGAGTCAACGTGACGACCCTGCGGGACGACTGAACAAACTGACCTCCCACAGCCGAGCAGAATGGGTCCCAGCCTGTGCTGAGCCAGCTTTCAGCATGGGGATGCCTTGTACTGGATCCTTGAATGCAGTGTTTTGAGACTTTGAACTTTGGAACCTGAAGGAGACGACGCTTCAACTCAAGTGACTGGATTCAGGTCAGCAAAGGGACATGGGAGATGGCTTCTCTCAGAGAGGTGAGGCTTCAATCTGAGGATGCAAAGTCAGGTTAGCGGAGGTGGGGACCACAGCAGGCCCTCTTGGGAGTAAGCAAACATTAATAACATTGGGCTCTCCTACCCTAGACAAGGGAGACCCCAATGAAACTCACCTGGCCCCCACTATCAGCCCCAGGAGGCCCTGGGCTAATATGGCCAGATGTGGTGCCCCCTCACTGAAGAAAGTCAGAAAAAGTCAGCAGAAGGTTGGACCCAAACCCTGGCAGGGGAAGATTAGGACTCTGAGCACTGAAGGAACCCATCCACCCCAGAACAGTGGGGCCTCCTAGAGTTTAGCACCACCCCGCCTGTCAGCAGTGGGGGTCCAGGACTGTGCCTGTAGTCTGTGTATGGAGATGGCTCCCTGTTTCCTCTCCTAGGAGCACTAGGAACTGGGGGGGGGGGGGTGAAGGCCTTGGTCTGAGGCCTGCATCTTCAGGTCAGCATGTCAGAGAGGGCCCAGGCAGCTCCAGAAGTCAGAGTGAGGTATATACCATGAACATCTGTCAAGAACCTCACGCACCTCAGAACAGAGAGGACCCCACAGTGCCTGACTCTACCCAGCCTAGTCTCGTTCCTTGGGCTGTGTTGGCTGGCTGCACCCTGAGGAGCCGCCTCACTTCCTCTTTCAGTTCTTAGCAGACAGGCCAGCCAGGACAACGGGAGCCCTCTGAGGCCTGAGAGCACTCCTAAAAGAGGACCTGTAAGCTGCCTTTGTCGCAGCCATTATCGATGGCTTTCTCAGCTGAGGGCACTGACACTCTCCCTCTCTCCTCCAGGCCTGTGGGTCCTCATTGCCCACCCTCCTGCCCGCTGCCCTGGGCACAAGCCATCATACCTCTCAGCTGGAAGACTGAGTGTTGCAAGCTTGAGGGAAGACCTGCAGGCCCTGAGAGAGACCCAGGGCCTGAGAGGTGCACAGGTTCCCACGGCTGCGAAGGAAGAAGCCACCTCCTCTCCTTCGCTTTCTCCTTTGGTCCTTGGTACCCCAGAGAGAGCGCCTGCTGAGGGGAAACTGAGTCCTCTCTGGAGTTCTCAGAGAGCCTGCCCCTCCCCCACTGCCATCAACCTGATGGCAGCTCCAGCAGCCAAGAAGAGGAGGGACCCAGCACCCCCCAGGCTCCACGAGATCCTAAGTCAGTGCTCGCTGCCATGCTAAACAAGAAGGTGGCTGAACTGGTGCAGTTCCTGAGTGCCAAGTATGTGACAGGAGGAGCCCATCACGAAGGGAGAAATGCTGGAGACCGTCATCAGAGAGGAGAAGGACCCTTCCCTGTGATCTTCAGGAAAGTCTGTGAGTGTGTGGAAACTGTCTTTGGCATTGAAGTGAAGGAAGTGGACCCCGCCAGCCACTCCTACATGCTCGTCAAATCAGCAGACCTCACTTACGACGGGCTGCTGAGGGATGACCAGGGCGCACCCAGGACCGGTGCCTCCTGGTACTCATCCTGGGCGTTATCCTCGTGAAAGGCAACCGGGCCTCTGAGGAGAGGCTCTGGCAAGTGCTGAATATGATCGGGATGTGTCCTGGGAAGAAAGATTTCATCTATGGGGAGCCCAGGAAGCTCATCCCCAAAGATTTGGTGCAGGAAAAGTACCTGGTGTACCAGCAGCTGCCCGACAGCGATCCTCCACGCTATGAGTTCCTGTGGGGGCCGAGGGCACACGTGGAAACCAGCAAGATGAAAGTCCTCCAGTTATTCGCCAAGATCAGTGGAAATGATGCCACTTCCTTCCCATCCTGGTATGAGGAAGCTTTGAGGGATGAGAGGGTGAGAGCCCGGGCCGTGCTGGCACCAGTGAAAGTTCCAGCATCCTGTCCAGCAGCCCCTCCTGCCCTGAGGAGGTCTGAAGCAGGTCCTGAGGCCTATTTGAAGACAACAGCCAACATTCTAAGTAGTGGGAAGCAGGGGGGCGGCCTGGGGGAACATGGTGTATAACCCTGTTTTGTCTTCCTGCTCTGTATGGGTGATTTGGAGATTTATCTTTTTTTCCCCCAAATACTATCCCTGTAAATAGTTTAATTAGCTTCAGGATCTAAGTTTATGAATGAGAGGGGTCACACATTTATCACTATTTATCGGTTTAAGAGTCTTGCAATTTTGCCAAATTGGGAAACCCTTCATTTTTTGTGATCAGGAACAAGATGACATGATATTAAATATGAATTTTCTTGGAAATGTGAATGAACTCATCAGTAAAATAGAAGGATTCAAGAATAGAGGAAACAACATAAAGGACGACAAATTCTTGCATTCCTCAACCTTTTAGTCTATAATTCTGTAAAATTAAATGATATATACCTGGAATTGCTTGTCTTATTCAAGAAAAGTAGGAGAAATTGTAAGTTATGCTCCTTGGCGGCAGAGGGCAGACTCTGAAAAGGTGTGTCTTACAATTGAGAGAAAAATCTGGAATGGAAAATATGTCAAAGCAGTTACTTTTGGTCATGGATAAAACAGAGAGATATCTCCAACAGAGGCAGGTGTGGGAAGTGTCCTGAACTCTTGAAAAAAACCCAGTGCAGTTGAACACAGCATGAAATAGATGCTCCTCAAGGATTTCCTGAGAAATAGGGTGATTCTCCCTTGAAGTGATGCCCAGAAGCCCCTAGGCTGTTACTCTTCCCTGGCCTAGGAGAGCCAGAGCCCACTTCATTAAAATGACATTATGATCAGGTTATCTTGAGTGCACTTTGGCTAACTCTAAGCAAGGGTTAGATTTTTGGTGGGGGTAGAATGAATGAAAATAGTGTTTTGGACGGAAGAGCAGCTGGAAGGGAAGGAAAGAGTTAACCTTTGACTTGAATTCTAGGAGCGTTGAGTTGAACCCAGCTGGGGAAGACTAACCCACACTCAAACAATGTATTTGGCTAAGTAAAAATCTAGTGAGTTTATTATTTTTTTTTACAGAGCAACATTTCTGGCTCTTCTGGTGTCCAGTGGCTCAGAACACTGCATATTCTCTGGGCAGTCCTGGATAACAAAAATTCCCAGAGGAGAGGGTGGATGGTTCTGGGGTCAAAATAGTGATGGAGAAAACTGCCACCTGTCAGGAGCTCAGTTGAGCTGGGGTGAGAGCTAAGTTGCCAGGTATCAAAGTAGCTGATCAAAGCAACAAGCCAAGTACAATGGAGTTAAGCCTCTGATCACTTACTGCGCTAGTATAAGCAAGAGTGTAAAACAGGAGAGGGTGCTGATTCCTCCCATTGCATTTCCCTCCATGGAATGACATGCCAGTGGAGAATCAGGGGGAACAGCGCAGACCTGAGGGGCACCTGACTGTTGAGGGAGCCCCAACAAAAGGCCCTGGCAGTTTTATGGATCCAGGAATCAGAGGAAGGCAAGGGGGGAAGGTATCTCTAAGGTTTCCTCTGCCTTCCCCCTAAGGCGGCCTGTGCAGAGGCCCAGCAGAAGACCTCTACCCAAGGCCTCAGATAAAGAGTCTTGAAAATGAAAGCACAGGGGCTAGGAATGCAAGTATGAGAAGAGAACGAATGACCTACCAGGGGGACCTGAGTCTCTCACTGTACACCAAGTCTGCTATGGTAGGGGGCAGCTTTTTCCCATGAGGCCTGCCTGCCAAGGGAAGCCTTTGTAATTGCTGATGGTCAGACCTGGAAAAAAATCACATATCCTGGTTTTTCACCAGCAGCAGGACTTGTCACCATTCATTTAGATCCAGTATATGCCAGCCACTGTGCCAGGTGCTCTACATGTATTACATAGGCTCCAGCAGTCCTACAAGATGGGGCTTATCAAACCCACCTCAGAGATGACCTTGAGGATCACAGGGCTAGGCCGCAACAGGGTGGAGACTAGACCTGGTGGGAATTCCTTTAGAGTCCACATTCCCTTCACTTCCTAGCCTGAGGCAGACCTTCGATCTCTTATTGCTCAGTTTCTCCACAGTGTCTCTCAGGCCATAAAAGAAGGTCTCTGTACCAAGATAGTAAAAGCAGGTCTAAACACGGAAAGTAACAAGGGTATCAAATGGATTTGGGGACTGTCTCAGCTTTATGAACCTGAGGTCCTCCTGCCGGAGGCCCAGGGTTCTTTGAGAGGGGACTCCGTGTTTCTGTCTGGTCCCAGCACTTTCCCCTCCCCACCCCCCACCATCTCCCTCTGTGCGCCTTCCTGTCCAAGTCTGGAACCTGATCAGCTTACCAGCTTTTCAGCAACTCTTCCTTTGAAGGCTGTGCTCTGCTCCCAGTGGAACAGACTAGGATCACCTGTCCTGCCCCTGACCTTGCATTCCTACTCCCTTGCTGTCCATCCCTCATTCTGGAACCTCTGTGTTAGCAACAGCTCCTTTGACTTAAAAGGTCACTTGAGACAGTGACATCAGGTACCTTGTCATTTCCCCTTGGCTTCCTGAATACACTCTCGAAGTGTTTTCCAAATGGGTTGGTGAGGAGAGTGTGATTTGGCTCATCATCTACTGGTTTGGGAGTAGAACCCTGAAACTAGTTTAACAACAAACACTGGTATCTGCAGTAGGATTTTAAAGGAATGTCTTTTTTGAAACTGGCCTGTGAGTACTTACCCAGATGAATAAGCTTAACTAGGTATTTAAAAAGCAAAAGTTTCTCCCAAAAATGGTAGATGGGAAAAGACCAGGAAAAGCACTATGGAATGATCATCTACTGAAGCTGAAGTCCTAAAACCCTGGAATCCTCTTCGGAGGAAAAACCTAGTTCCTCAGTGGGCATGCTGACTCTGATGAAAAAAGAAAAAATATACCCTTCCACTGCCTCTATGTCTGTGTACCTCCCACCCCGGAAAATCCCGGCTTTCAGTATTGTACAGGTACTCAGGTATGTCCAGGCATGCAGGGTAGCAGAGACTCACAAGTTAAAATTTTGACCTTGCATAAAAAGGAAGGAAAGACTTCTCAGCCTACTGAGCTAAAAGAGGTGCATGCAAAGGGCGATGCAGAAACATATATGAAGTGGAGAAGGGCAAATGCTCCCTGCTGACATTTACAGGATCCTTCGAAAGCTAGATGTCATCCTTTGTCTGAAAGCACTTGTCACATAGTAGGCACTTGAAAAAGTTGGAGACTTTAAGGCAGATTTGGCCTTCTCAGCAACTCCTTGAAGAAATGAAGAGAGTTGTTTTTATAACAAGTTATTATAGTTGCTTTTTCCTCAGCACCTACTATGTGTCAGCACAAGGGGAAGACTAGACACACTCCCCCTCATCCCATCTTCTCTCCTTCCTGGACCTGAGAGCAAATTGCACTGCCAGTCCAAGTGTCATTAGGCAGGAGCCAGTGGGCCTTTCCCATGCTCGCTCCTCCACTCAGCCCCGAACATGGCTGCCCCGTGTTTCCAGGCTGACACAAAGAGATGGAAGTGGCCGGAGAGCAGAGAGACCCTGCCACCTGCAGTCAGAATGTCTGTGAACAGAAGTAACTTTGGTTGTGTAAGCCGGTCAATTTTAGGCGTTGTCTGCTGCATGGAAGAGCAGTTACATTGACCAGTAATGTCTAGTAGGTCTGTGTGAAGATTCTTTAATTATTTTAATTACAAAGGTTGTAGTGCATGTATACTTTTTGTTGCTTTTTCTTCAGCTTTATGGAGATGCAATTGACATATAAAATTGCAAGATGTTTAAAATGTACATCGTGATGATATATGTATACATTGTGAAAAGATTCCCCCATCAAGTTAACTAACACAGCCATCACATCACATACTTCTCTCTGTCTCTCTCTCTCTCTCTCTCTCTCTCTCTCTCTGAGAACATTTAAGTGCTACTCTCTTAGCAAATGGCAGTTACACAACATAGTGTTATCAACTGTAGTCACCATGTTTTACATGATTAGATCCTCAGACCTTATTCATCTTATAGCTGAAAGTTTGTACTTTCACCAACCTCTCCCTATTCTCCCATCTCCTAGCCCCTGGCAACCACTTTTCTACTTTATTTCTGAGTATAGCATTTATTTTAGATTTCACATGTAAGTGATACCATGCAGTATTTGTCTTTCTCTGCCTGTTTTATTTCACTTAGCTTAATGCCGTCAAGGTCCATCCATGTTGTCACAAATGGCAGGATTCCCTTCTTTCTCAAGGCCGAACAACATTCCATGCTACATTAGTACCATGTCTTCTTTATCCACTCATCCATGAATGGACACTTAGGTTGTTGCCATACCTTGGCTCTTGTGAATAGTGCTGCAATGAACATGGGGATGCAGGTATCTCTTCAATATCCTGTCTTCATTTCCTTTGCATATATACCCAGAAGTGGGATTGCTGGATCATAGGGTAGCTCTATTTTTAAGTTTTTGAGACAACTCCCTAATGTTTCCCTTAGTGGCTGCACCAATTTACATTTACAACAGTGCACTAGGCTTCCTTTTCCTCCAAATCCTTGCCAGCACTTGCTATCTATTTAGTCTTTTTGATGACAGCCATTCTACAGGTATAAGGTGATGTCTCATTATAGTTTTGATTTGCATTTTCCTGTTGATTAGTGATGTTGAGCCCCTTCTTGTTCTTGTTGGCTCTTTGTATGTCTTATTTGGAAAAATGTCTACTCAGTTCTTCTGCCTATTTAAAAAAATCAGATTGTTTCTTTTTTGCTATTGAATTGCATTAACCCCTTCTCAAACAAATGATTTGCATATATTTTCTCCCATCCCATTGGTTGACTTCATTTTGTTGGTATCCTTTGCAGTGCAGATGCTGTTTAATTTGATGAGCTCCAACTTTTAGTTTTGCTTTGATCATCTTCACTTCTGGTGTCAAATCCAAAAAAATCTCAAAATTCAGCCAACCATAAATATGAAGCTCACTATTGAGACCACAACTTTTCTATCAGCTATTAATTTACTGGCTACCTGCAAATTGTAACTCTGAGAGTCTCATGTAGCTCTTTGCCTGTCATAGCTTCCATGAAAATGAGAAACTATGATTATTTACAAATGTCTAAAGCA